TGTCATTTTCCAGACTATCAGTAGAGAAGTTTATTAATGATCCTATCTAACAGTAGTAAATGAGTTCTAGAGATTATTGTGAAATGTATCAATAATTTCAACAGTCTTTTTAGGTACTGCAAACCCTTATAGAAACTCTTACTGCTAAACTTACTAAGAACTTTTCCATAACTTAGGTTGACTTAAAATTACAATTACGTAAACAGGTTGTAATATGAAATTTATTTTTCGTACTCTTAGATAATTACGCCTATGATAATAATGCCGCTCAGCCTAGAAAAAATCTGTGCAAATTTATAACTGCCCTTCTAGGCTTCTCCCACCAGTTAATTTGTTACAAAGTTAACTATAACCGGCAGTTATTGACCGGTTTTAAAATTACGATAGTATTGCACATTTATTTAGAGGAATTAATGCTATATATTTTACTTTATCAAATGTAGTTTTATTTCGATATTTTATCAGTCATCATACGTCATATCAATATCCAAAATGCACAATAGGAGAAATTTTATTTTACAAGATTATAGTTTACCAACATGTATATACATTATATAAAAACTTCCAGTGTACAACTACAGTTATTCATTTTAATTGCCTAAAGAATCAGTTTATTAACAGTTTTGAGTAAATTTGGGTACAAGAGACAGATAATACAAACTTAACTATGAAATTTCTTTTTAGGATGTATTGATATATGCACCGGTGAGCATAATTTAAGAATTCCATTCAACTGATATTTTGAATTAGAGATACTAGAGTCAGGTTCAAGATCAAAGGCTCCATTTTCCAGGTAGGATTTCCAATCTGTTAGTTGCTTCTCAACATGATCAGCTTGATAAGTTATCACTGGGCATATCTCAATATAGCCTACATCTATATGAATCGACATGAAGAATAGTTTATTACCGCTGTCACTATAACATTTTTACCAAGATAACATCGTTACATTAAGCTCGTGTTACCTGACCAAGCAGAGTGTGATATCACAATTTTTGTAGATAAATGATAGCCAGTGCTACTGCAAGGATGGAAATCTGCCAATTTAGGGGTGAAGAGTTGCGTTCGGCGATCCGGAAAAGTAACCTTAATTTTATAAGTTGGAATAAATCTTAAAATTTTCAAACTAATCTGATGTTCTAAATCCAGAAGACGACACAATGTAAACTATTGAAATAATTACCAGTATTCGTATCACTGAAGGATCTGATACATTTTCAAAATTAATGTCGATGTTAATTGCCACAGGAAGTCTAGCAGTAAAACGATATACATTGTCAGTTTTATCTTTCGGCTCATTAACTATAGCTGTTACACGTTGGATTAGGGAATCTTCATTAATCTTTGATCCATCTTCTTCTAAAAGACTGGTATTATCACCAAAGTGAGGAAAAGAATAGCTGAAAATGATATTCATTATTTTAGAGCTTATGTCTTGTAGACGTCTTGCCACTTCAGATAGTTCAGTTATATTATCTATTCGAAATATGTCCATTTGCCCTCCGAAATCTTTAGATTTTGTACAGATGCCAAGTAATGACTGTATAAGCTGATTCAATGGCAGGCCCATTGAACAAAGAAAGCTAAAAATGAACATTCGAAAAATAAATATACAGAGTAAGGTCCATCTAATTAGATGTTGATTGTGTTGATCCTAAAATAGGCTTAAATTACCTTTCTAAACCGATGATCCTTTCCTTGAAATACAATATAGGTCTATCACAGAAATTAAAAACATAATTTTAAAACACTTCTATTTTATCATTCACTCTCTACTCTTTTCTATAAGTATTTTTAACCTTTCTAAACTTCTTATCTGATCAGTGAAAGCACCAATAGACCTACAAATTAAATTAATGTTAACATGTATCATGAAATTTATTATTAAAACAGGTTCTATGCATGTCAAAGATTAACATATATGATATAACTAAAGCAGCAGCATAGAAGCACAATTCAAGAAAAATCGTACTCTCTTCCAATATTAGCTCCGAGCTTTATTCGAATTAATAAGAGGACCAGAATTGCATGAGCTAAAGCTCTTAATTGCCTTAGCAATGCTGATTTCTCTATATTAAGACCAGTAAATAGGTGTTCCATTCGATAAGAATATTCTAAAATCTATAAACAAAGCAAATTGATGATCACAAAATGTTAGTAATTTTCCGAAAGCAATAGAGTTACTTAATGTACCCTAATGAATGTGTTCATATGCAATTAAGAAATT